TTTTTTTTTTTTTTTTTTTTTTTTTTTCTGAAATATTTACATTGAGGTGGGCCCTAGAAACACAGACCTTTAGCCCTTGGTGAGCTATCATAAAAGAATATGCGAGATGCTATACATCTATGCAGAGTACAGTCTGGTTCCTCTGTGTGTTTTTTCTACTTATCTTCACCAACCTCCTTTTATGATGGATATTATCCCATCTAAACTGGATGGGCTCAGTTTTTTCCTTCTGTTCTATGCTTCTGCAAACCATCCATTTCCAATGTAACAATTTCCACTCGGGCAGGCTTCTCATTTTCATTATGCCTTTGAGATTTCCTTTTCCAGCCCGTGTTTCCCAGCAGGGCCATTTTAAAAAAAATAGTAACATTCTTGTAGAATTGTTTTGGTAATTGAAGAAGATTATACATGTAAAATTCTAAGAAGAGTTCCTGGTACATACTAATGGCACAGTTAAGTTGGATATTATTATTAAAAGAACTAAAAGTAGTAAGCAGGACTACTAGTTTTATTTACTTTGGGTTCTTTTTTTTTGGTGATCTAGCCTGGAAGACTAATCAATATTTTACAACTTAACCAACTTAAAAATTATTGAAACAGTTCATTAGCTGGTGACTTCTTGTCTAATAAATGTAATACTTCTTTATATAAGAAATCTTGATAAAATACAGTCATAATAATTTTTATTATTTACCTTTGGTAATCATAATTCTATAATGAATTCTTATAGGAAACTCTTGAAACTTTCATATTAGTAGTACCGTTCGTTATTAGACAAGATGCTTTATAATTTGAGTTTGTAATATTAAATCCCATGCCAGGAATATTTACACCGGTACTTTGTTTTTCTTGTGTGTGATGTTTTTAGTGGCATTATGCAAATTGCTTTATGGACAGCACCAGTGTGATATAATGCAAGAGATATAATTGATTATTTTATGACATATACTAAAAGAAATAAAACACTTTTTGTTTTAAGGAAATTAACAGTAGAAGAAAATTACCGGTTAGAGAAAGAAGAAAAACTTTCTAAAGCAGATGAAAAGATCAGCCATGCAGCTGAAGAGCTGGAGACCTATAGGTATTAAATATATTTTATCCCTTTTTGAGGTGGGGAGGGTGTCCAAAAGCCCTAATACTAGAAAAAATAATACAGCAATAACAACAAAAAATAAAACAATGTAGTTTTGTTTTATTATTTTCATTTAGATGTCTTGCTATAATGCAATTATACAGAAATTATAAAAAGGAAAGATATTTTTCTTTCAGTATGTGAGATTTTAAATCTCTCACAGTATTAGGTGTACTTGAACATAGGCAGCCCTATTGTATTTTAATGTCAACAAAATTATGAATAGCCATTAATTAAAAAAAATCTTTCCTCTTTGGTACAAATGGGGATGAATATATACAGTGTTAGTGAATTCAGGAATTATGCCACAAAAAGAAGAGTAAGCCACAATTAAAGTTCTGAAGAAGTGTTTATAAGATAAGTCTATCAGCAGTACACCAAATAGTTGTGATACTGCATTTGACATTAGGGAGTGTAAGCTTGAGTCTTATCCAAAAGAAGGAATTATCTTGTTAGTTTTATAAAGGTAACAAGTAACATTTTATTTCACACTGGGCATTAATTTTCTAGAATTCTATTAAGATTACAGCCATTTGAATAAATCTTCCTTTGGTTTGGGTAAACCCAAGTAGTAGTCCTTTTAAATCTTAATTTTAAAATTGTATCAGGGAAAAATGTACTTTAGAACTGCTTAAAGGCAGTTAATGTGTGAAGTTCTGAACTTTTTCTTTTTACATGAAATAAATATTTCCAGTAGATATAGAGTGTTCTATCATTTCTTAGTATATGTTACTAGTAGAATGATTATTTCTTTCCTGTAGAAAGCGAGCCAAAGACCTTGAAGAAGAATTGGAGAGAACCATTCATTCTTATCAAGGGCAGGTGTGTGTGTGTGTGTGTGTGTATATAACTTAAAACAATTCTGATTTGTTTGAATTGATATCTCTCTTTTCATGGAGGAATATAGTTACTTGACTAGTTGTACACTTTTCTTGAGGTTTTACATGTGGCTGTGGAACATTTCTAGAGAGCCAGAGATTCTGTGAAAAGAGATCTTATTAAAGTTGTCATGTCTTCTGCTGCTTTGGGAATGTGAATTGCATAAACAAATAACATGCAGGGTAGAACAAAAGTAGGTTTACAGTTGTTCGTATGGAAAAAGACATGCAGGTTATGATTATTACAGTAGCTTTATTAACTGTATTTTGTGTACTCACTACTGTAAACCTGCTCTTGCCCCACCCTGTATATAAGCATTGGGGTCTCATATTCTGTCCAGCTAGTGTTTCTTAATTGGCAACTCGTTTTGTAGTTGATTACTGCATAAAGTGGAAATTTACTAGACATAGTTTAGTTGTCATTACATTTAGTTTTGTTTTAAAAGTATAATAGAATAGATCATGTGTATATGAAAATTTGCTTTAAAATGTTACTGACTTTTCAGAGATGCTTGAGTTATTTTTGAGTTTATGAGTTGTCTACTAAATCATAGTGGTAGATGTGAATATTTTTTACATAAGAAAAGTAGTTATCAGTAGTATAATGATTTTCTTTTTCAGATTATTTCTCATGAGAAAAAAGCACATGATAATTGGGTAAGTATTAAATTTTCTTAGGTTCTTTTATCAAATTGTTCTTTTTCCTGATTTAAAAGAGCAGTATAAAATGTACTAAAACTAAAGGTAGGATTTAAAAAAATAATTTCCTTTTACTATGTTCCTTATGAACTAAATACTTTGTTATGGCACTGTTATTCACAAAATCTGATTTTTCCTTCTCTGCTTTCAGCACATTGCTTCTTTGCAAGGAGCTTACACTCTCTCTGGGGGAGGTGATGTAATCTTCATGGCTTCATTGTTTCAGGTCACTGGATTGCCACTAATTACTGTGGACAAATTACTTGAATTTTTCTGGGCCTGTTTACTCATCTATAAAACTGGGATCGTACCAAGTGATGCTTAAAGCCCTTTCTAGCTCTAAAAGTTCTAAAGATCTAAAAATTCTAGAATCTAATTCTCAGTGTTGAGTTACTTGGTACACATTAAGAAAAAGACCGTCATGAGAAATCTCATGTCAGTCCTCCAGAGAAACTGTGTGAGGAAATCATAAGGATGCAGATTTTGACTAATTATAAAAACCATCCCTCTAAGAGTTGTTAAGAGCCAGCCTTTGGTCGATGTGTCCCTAGGGGTCTTCAAGGAGAGGCAGTTTGCACAGTGGGTGAATACATGGGGTCTGGACTTACCCTGTCTGGGTTGGTATCCTGGTTCCATCACCTAATGCCAGTTTCCTTACGTATAATATAGAGATATCATTAGTACCTATTTCAGAGAGAGACTGTAATGATTAAATAAGATAGTTCATGTGAGGCTATTAGCCAGGTGCCTGACATAGTAATAAGCACTTAGTAAATGTCAGCTGTTATCATCACTATTGTTATACTGAAGCTTGGGAGGTATTTCTTAGGCATGGATGTTTCTTGGAATGGAGATTCCAGCTTAATGGGTGGGAAATTAGATATGTTGAATGTTAAGGTCCTTCCCAGCCCTAAGATTTTTTGTGCTCTGTATTGAGAGTTCAAGTGAAGATTTGTTACTGAAGTAAGCTGGATATGAATTTAGTCTTCACCACTAAATACTCACCACTTTCTAAATACTCAGATGCTGATTTTTAGAAAAAAGATGGACTGGAATTGATGTTTTTTAATATCTTTCATGTTGTGGGTCAGGAGTGGGGAACGTCCGGCCCACAAAGTCATTTGATTTCGTCCTGTCAAGGCAAACGCAGACAGGACTCGAAATTCAATAAATCTAGGAGCTTTTTTCATAGCTAGTTTTTAATTTGATAATTTTGTATGGTCCACGAACGATGTTATAAATATCCAAATGCCCTTGGCAGAGAAAAGTTTTCCCACCCCTGTTCTAGGCACTGTACTTCAAGACATTTTACATGTATTACTTATTCAGTCCACACAATAACTCTGTAAATAGGTCCTAAATTCAAGTTTAATAAATGAGAAAACAGTCTAAGGTTACATGATTAGAGAGTGAAGAGTGGAGATTGAAATTTTGACCTTTTACAAAGTGTCTTGTGTTTTTTCTGTTCTGTTACATTGAATTTCTTAGTGAATAGTGACAGTGACTTTAAAATATGCATAACATGCCTTTTGTCTCAAAATGAAAATATTTTTCAGATTTTATAAAAATATTTACTCATTATTAAGCAAAATTTCAGACTGTATAGAAAGGTAAAAAGAAGTAATCAGCAATGTTACTTTCATTTATCCCATACTTTTTAGTTTTTATCTTACTGAATTTATTGGGGTGACATTGGTTAATAAAATCATATAAGTTTCAGGTGTATAATTCTAAGTTACATCATCTGTTATTATTACCATATAGTGTATTATATGTTCCTCACGCCAAGTCAAGTCTCCTTCCGTCACCATTTATCCCCCTTTTACCTTTATTCTGTACTTTTAAAAATACATTTAGACTTGAAAGCACATACAGGGTGTCTCCCCCCAAAATGTATACACATTTTAACAGCTGATAGTTCAATTTTTTAAATGAAATGTATTTTAATAAACACTGCCTTTATAATTATTCAAAGTGTGTGTAAACATATTTTTGGGACACCCTATGTATGTGTTTTAAAAAATGGAATCATATTATATATTGTTTTATAACCTGTTTTCTCAATGTGTCATATTTTTCTGTGAATGTTTCATAATTTATATAAACCTTTCCCATTTGATAAACATTTTTTTCCACTTAAAAAAATATCTTTATTGACTTCAGAGAGAGGAAGGGAGAGGGAGAGAGAGAGAGAAACATCAATGATGAGAGAGTCATTGATCGGCTGCCTCCTGCATGCCCCCTGCATGCCCCCTACTGGGGATGGAGCCCGAAACCTGGGCATGCGCCCTGACTGGGAATTGAACTGCTGTTTCCTCGAGCATAGGTCAATGCTCAACCTCTGAGCCACTCCGGCCAGGCTAATCTTTCTTTTGAACTCAGAGCACTTTGTGTTTTCTTTTGTGTCCTATGGCAAGTACCATGCTCATTTAAAAATATATATATTTTTAATCCCCATCCAAGGAAATTTTTTAAATTGATTTTTAGAGAGAGAGGAAGGGAGAAAGAAACAGTGTGAGAGAAACATTGATCATCGCCTCCCATATGTGCCCTGACCGGGGATCAAACCTGCAACCTTTTTGGTGCATGGGATGACGCTCTAACCAGCTGAGCCCCTCAGAGTGCAAGGGGTCCATTCTCATTTATATTCGTCTTTACCACAGATTTAAGCTTCTCAAGATAGGTACTGTTTCTTTTTCCTTAATACTTGTACCTAATTGAATGCTTTTTTTGTATATTGTAAGTATTCAATATCTGAATGCAGTGTTTTAGAATACATTGTGGTCATTCACTGAAAATACAGTTTTATCTAACCTTTGGATATAAGCTTTTCAAAAGTCTGTATTCATTTGCCACCAGTTATTTTTCTATTTTTTTGTTGTAGATATATCATTAATACATACTATACTATAATGATAGAACTTACTTTTGACTTACTAGCTATGCATTTTTTGTGCCTTAAGGGTAAATATGTTCCACTGTGTAGAAAACATTTAGAAATAATTTTGGTTCTGCATTGTTAATAGTTAAATGAATTGGTATTTTATTAACTAAAATCTTTAGGGTGTAATATACTTTTTTTTTGTTTTGTTAGTAAAAAATTGATTATGTGATTATATATTGGAAAAAGATTTACCCATGGAGTCATTTTGATAGTGAGTGCTAAAATATGTTTAAGCTATGTTTTTTGTGAATATTTACTTAATTTGTTCTTTGACCAGTTAAAGTCACTTCTCATATGCAGTTCTCAATTTTAAGTGAACACATTGATAGTGTAAGTTCTTTTACTTGTAAAAAGTTATGGTTATAGACTGAGTTAATTTACCTACCTTTGTATGATAGATACAGTTGCCCTAGGATTCCCTAAATTAAAACTTTTAACATTGAATTTACTGAAATACTTAAGTGATTGTAATATTCGTATGCCATCACTGAGATATTTATATATATGTATTTTCATGTTAAGTTTGTATAAAGGTGTTTTTAAAATTTATTCTTTTCCTTAAGTTGGCAGCTCGGACTGCTGAAAGAAACCTCAATGATTTAAAGAAAGAAAATTCTTACCTCAGACAAAAGTAAGTATCTTAGTGGGAACATTTTAAAAACTTTATTCTTAGTTGTTATTTTGTTAATTAGTTAATACTTTTATAAGGATGAACAAGAAAACATATAGTGGATTCAGCATATCTGATAGTGAAATCTATTAGTTTTACTGAGTTCCTAGATTTTTTTGTTTGAAACATTTGTCTTAGAGAGGTCACTTTAACAGAGAAGGAAACTATTCATGGATTCTTTTATAAAAGGTGTAACAGAACTTAAAATGATGACAACAACAGGCTAGGTAGAGGGAGATTACTTACATAGGATAGAAAGAGAAAGGGTGGATCTCTCTGAGATAGTAGTTCTCAGAGTTTCAGCATCTTTTAATGGATAAATGAATGGAATAAATGTTTATTACTTATTCCTGAGTTTTAATGTAATGGGAGGCATTACTTTACAATAAAAAAAATGAAAAGGAGAATAAAAATGTACATTGTACAAAGAGAAGAGTAAATGCTTTTCTATGAGAATTGTAACAGTGTTCCCAGAGTGTTGTAATTTCTTGCCAGAATGTGCCATTAACATTATACAATATTCTTTTTAGTCTTCTTGCTTGCCTTTTCTACTCAGAAATTAAAACCAAATGAATAAATGTTTTATTTCAGAGCTGATGGTCAAGAAGTAGAAATGGGATTCTTTTAAAATACCACATTTCTAAGATAAAACCTTTAGGAGTAAAATAGTAGGATGAGTTAATTGGATTCCAATTTTACATTATGGTTGGAATTCTATGTGTAACATTACAATGGAAAGCAATGTGACTCAAAGCCTGGAGCCCTGTGTTTTAATCCTGGCACTTTCATTTTCAATAAATCAAACTCCTGGCCTAAGTTTCTTTAGTTGAAAAATGATAGACTTGAACTGGTTGACCTTGGAGGACCCTTCTATTTTTTAAATTTGGGTTTTGTGATACTGCACTCTTTATAGTCTGATTTTGAAGAAAAAAAAAACAATTTCAAATTGCAGCAAAACATCACTATCACTTGGCAAAAAGAAACCTGTTACCCCAAAATAGTAGTGGGGGATATAGAAAGGTAATTTGGTCAGATAATTTTAAAGGATCTGTTTCTTTTATGCATATATTGAGAAAATGAAGAGTAGCTTATATATGATAGTGGCATTTTTCTAGAAATGTGGGTGCTTCTCTTGGATGAGTAACTTAGAGATGTTTGTTCTTTATTTGCAGATTAACTGAAACAGAGCTTAAATTTGAACTTTTAGAAAAAGATCCTTATGCACTTGATGTTCCAAATACAGCATTTGGCAGAGGTAGCTTTTTTTTAACCCCTCATTTAAAAATACATATATATTTATATATATATATAAGTTGTACATATAATTTATATTAGTGTAAATTTAACACAATTACTTATAAATATTTTAGGCTTTGGAGCTAGTGTTCTAATCTAAGTTCTCTCACACTTTCCCAAGTTTCTGAGTTTCTTTTCCCTAGCGATAGTATAAATACTTGGTGCCTCTCTTTTTCAGTGGGATTTTATACAATGATGTATATTTAGTACCTTGAGCTCCTTGAAAAGCAAAGTGCTTGACACATAGTAAGGTACTCATTAATTATGTTTTGAGAGTGAATGGTTAAGGATTGCTTAAGTAGAACAGCATTGTGACTGTTTACATATTAACTATTCTTTGGTATTTGTGTGAATTGTAAAAATAAGAATTAAATGATTATCAAGGAAGCTGGTAGCAACATGTATTTGTATGACAGAAATTTGATATAATGTAAGCACAAATGTTAGATATATTTTAGTTTCATAATTTATATGCTATATATTAGTGAAGTTGATTTGCCATACAAAAGGAAATTTTTACTTAGAAAAAGATTTTTACCAGTATTACACTTGTCTTATATTTTTATGATGCCTAATGATATACTATTCTCTTCCTTAAGTAAAAAAGGATACTTAAGTATAAAAAAATGAAAATGAGAATTAAAACAGCCTTTAATTATTTAAAAATATTAATTAAAAGGTGGGAAACCTGAGTAATCTGAGTTGTGATTGCTTTTATAATCCCTCAAAAAAGGACCAGTTCTTTGGAAGATGTATTTAATATTTCTGTCCATTCAGTAATGAGTTAGCATCTTTAATGATCTCATACTATTTCAAATAGCTTAAAGTTTCAAAATAATTTTGGTTGAATTAGAATTAAACTTGTAAGGCAGTGAAAACAAATCTATCTTTATATAGATAGAATCCCATTATAACCTTTGAGAAGTTATAAAATCATTTTGAGAGTCCAGTTTCATTAAAATGAAAGTCTATTTCTACATTTTGAAGATAGCAGACTATTATGAATTTTAAATAGTAACAAAGTTAGGAGTGGGAAGAATTATACAGAAATAATTTTTATATGAAATTAATGCAAAAATCCCAGGGGTGGGTAAATAATGCTTTGATCTTTTGTTGTAACTACATGTATATATTATGTAAACTACATAATAAAATTTAACATGTTTAAAAAGTGTTATTTTTGTGGTATTTAAATTCGTTTTTTGCTGTTAATTTTTGATCTTTTGAAGCATAACCATTATTTGGGAATGGTGAAGTTTGTAAAATGATAGGGCTCTTGGTTATATGGTTTATAGATAGAGTGACAATTTTTTAATGAATTAGTGCATGTAAATTGATTTTTCTTGGGCTGCCTCCAGCACGCACCCAGACTGGGGATTGAACATACAGCCTGGGTATGTGCCCTGACCAGGAATTGAATGCACCACCTTTTGATGTAAGGACGATGCTCCAACTGACTGAGCCACATGGCCAGGACTGTAAATTGACTTCTCACTGGCAATGAACCAAAAGTAATTTCTGATGCTTTAGAGTATTTTATGCCTTTTTTCCTACTTTTCAAAATTCGAAGCTTTACTCAAATAAATCATGACCTAACATAGGCTATCTGGCCCTGATTTTAAACTGAGCCCTTCCATGTTACAACCCTCACCAGCTGAAATATCTAGAAGCATTCTGCCATCAAAAACAAAACAAACAAAACAAACTTTATGCCCCCCAAATCTTGTAACTCCAGAATATCACCAGTATTCTTTGCTTAATATTTTATGGTTATTTTATTTATGTGTATTAATTATGAAGAGAATAATGTTTTGATTGACTAAAATGTACATTTGGTAAACTGACTTTATGGAACCCAGATCCATATTGAATTCTTTCCTGTGTTAGCAAAACCCAAGGCATAGTTAGTGTTCAGGACATGGATTAAACTTAAACTGGCAAGAGGATGACCTGATGGTAATTGTTGAAATGGGATTCTAATCTGTAGTGTAGCTAATTGAAACTATGAATTTAAACATGCTGTTTTAATTATTCCAGAGCATTCCCCATATGGTCCCTCACCATTGGGTCGACCTTCATCTGAAACGAGAGCTTTTCTCTCCCCTCCAACTTTGTTGGAGGGTCCACTCAGACTCTCACCTTTGCTTCCAGGGGGAGGAGGAAGAGGTATATTGTTTAAACATATTTATTACTCTGGATTCTTCCTTTGTATTTTCATCTCAACTTTTCTTTAAAAACAATCTTTAAAATAATCCTTTGGAAAATGCAGGCACTCCTTGCACTTATTGTGGGTTTAACTTTTGTTTGGAAAAGGAGCTCTTTGAAATCTAAATTTAATATATTTTTCTCTTGGAAACTGTGTTATTTTGGTCAAGCACTTTATGCATATCTTTTTAAATCATATTTTTACTTCTTAAAAACTTTTATGCTACATAATATAAAACTTTGTAAAGAATACATAAAATAACAATATAACATCATAAAATTGTATTTTCATGAAAAATTATTAGGATGTAGAGCTTTTTTTACTTCATTATCATGATTTTTTTATTGCAGAAAATCAAAGTGAAAGAACCTTATTTTAGTGTTGAGGAATTCAGAATTGCTCTTTTGTACGCAGAGTTTTGATGATAACCTTAAACCAAAATCATATTTTAATACTTTGAAAAACCAACCTCAGATTGTCTGCTTTGCCACCCCTTTATGTGATTTGTTTGTTGTTTTTGTTAATCCTCACCTGAGGATTTTTTTCCAGTGATTTTTAGAGAGAGTGGAAGGGGTAGGGGGAGAGAGAGAGAGAGAGAAAGAGAAACATCTATGTGAGAGGCACATTGATTGGTTACCTCCTGCACGCACCGCAACCAGGGCTGGGGATTGACCCTGCAACCCAGGTACAGGCCCTTGATGGGGAATTAAACCTGTGACCCTTTGAGCCACACCAGCCAGAGCCCCTTTATGTGTTTTTGAGAATTTCCGAAGCGACTTCAAGCCCCTAAGTATTAGTTGTTGGTCTTTCTGCATTTACCTCATCAGCACTTACTCTGGTGTTACCTATGTACCTGGAGTATTCCTCCTTTTTTTTTCTTTATTTTTATTCTTGTCAACTATTACAGATGTCCCTATTTTCCCCTCACTTGCCCCCTCCTTCACCCAGTCCCTGCCCAGCTGGAGTATTGCTCTTCTGATCTTTTGTCATACTTTGTTCACTTTGTCAAGTTGCTTTAAAATTTTCCTTGAATTGTGACAAATTTCAAAGATATAGAGCCCTGTCTGTTCCAAAATCAAGTTTTACATTTTTACCCCCAAGTCTGTGTTTTGTTAGCACTGATAGCATTCTTCACCAGTGTTGTGTTCCCATTCCCCCTTTTTGTCAGTGATTTTAGCGTATTGAATCTGAGGTAGGAACAGAAAATAATGAGACCAAATAAAAACAAACTAAACCCAACATAGGAAAGCTCTAATACTCAAATGGATACTATTCATCAAAGTAGCCTCTCAGAGAGTCTGTGTACTCTGTTGAAGCTTCCATTATTTTAAATGCTTTTGGAACAATTTCTTTGGAATTGCCTTCAAGAATATGAAAAAATCAATTACCTACTTTAAGTTTGTGAGACATTCTCTCTTTGCCCATTTCTTATTTATATCCCCTTTCCCCATCCTTAGTTTGCTATCCTTAACACTGGTCCTTCCTGCTTCCTAGTCCTACAGCAGATTGGCCCACAGCCTGGGGGATACTTCAGAGGGAGAGTTTAATTGTGTTGGCTTTGAACTGAAAGCTCCTGTGGAGAGAGATTGAGTTGCAGATTGACACTTGGAGCTCTAAGAGAGCTTTGCTGTAGGCACTCTAAGGAGGAAACTAATTTTGAAATTCACATGTGTGCTGTAAGTGCCCTAAATCCATCCCCCCCTTTTTGCCTAGAGTAAGAAATACATTTTGTATCATGTCATATTACACATCAATATAAATGTAATTGAAACCAGTTATATGAAATAGTACTTACTACTATTTTCGGTGCTTTCTGATATTTTTCTATTCAGTTTTATTCCATTTCATTAAAAAAGAATAGTGATTAAAAATTAAGACTAAGTTTATTTCACGCACCAAAATGGGTTACAACCAGCAGTCTGAAAAACAGTGGCCTAGAAATAAGGGTATAATTGGCTAGATGCAAATGGGAATCACTGGAAAGTGAATGACATAAGTCAAGGATTGCTTGTACTCAATTGAATATTTGGAATAAGAGTAAAAATTACCTTTGATTTCTCCTCTCCTATTTAAATGACTTTCCTCTCCTTTTTAATTACTTTCAAGATATGATGTGTTTACATTATTTGCAAGGGTGTTTTACTATTTGGTAGAAAAGTTACAGAGAAATTGAAAAAAATGTGTTATGTTACAACATATATCCTGGTTACCTGCATAAATAGTTTATTTAAAAAAATAAAAACATAAAAAGAGAAGCTACAGAGGATTTAGGTAAGTAATCAACAGGTATTAAAAGAGTTGTTTTGCACTGAAGGTTCTGATGACCCACCAAAGAAGGATGACCAGTACCCTTCCTTTTTTCACCTTTTAAAATTTGAAAGTTTGGGTGAGATACATGTTTGAATAAGATTGAGTATAGGGAAAATAATTTTTTTAGAGTAAATTTTATAAAACATTGGGTCTGAATGAAAAAGTTTAACCTTTAGCCATTTAAGTTTGTAATACTCATCTGGAAATAAGTCATTTGGCCTGTATTTGGTTCCCTGGAAGTAAACAATCAGAGGAAAGCCTTGGAATGTCTCCTTTAAAGATCTGTGCTCACTGTAGGATAATTTAGCCTAATTACTCTTGCACATTTCTACCAATTCAGTTCTGCTTTTCCAGCTTTTTTCTTTTAATGAACTGATTAGGATGAACAAAATAGAAGGAAAGATTTGGGGAATTTTTAATAGACTGTACAACTATAAGGAAAAGAGAGAGTTGACCTTCTGGCAGAAAGGTCAGTTGACCTCTTGACAAAAGAGAGTAGATAAAATTTTTAGAGAGAGTGGAAGGGAGGGTGGTGGGGGGCAGAGAGAAAGAAAGAGAAGTATCCATGTGAGAGGTGAGAGAGACACATTGATTGGTTGCCTCCTGAACTCACCCTGACCTGGGGCCTGGGATCAGACCTGCAACCCAGGAATGTGCCCTGATCGGAAATCGAACCTGCGGCTCTTCGATTCATGAGCTGATGCTCTAACCATGGAGCACATGGGCCAGGGCTGTCTTTTCTTTTTTGATTGAATATAGGTTATTAATTTAGGTACTGTCCTTTGTATACTCATAAGAAGGGAATTTTACAGTGTTTCCCTAATCTGTTAATGTAGGCATGACACATTTTCTTATCCAAGTTGATATTATCTTGTTTGAAGTGTTTGTTACAACAGTGCTTTTGTTTCTGAAACTCTTGTTTTACATTTGCCTTCCGGGCTGTTATCTCTTTCTGAAGGTGAATTTTACATTTAGAAATTGCTATAAGCCATTTACAGACAAATTTATCTGATAATATAAAGTTTGTAATTAGACTGGTTAAAATCATTTTGGGGAGAAGTAGAGAGTCATGTTACAACATTGAGATACAATTTATTGAGTGGCTTTCAAGTTAATCTGAATATATTTCCAAAGAGTTTTTCTAAGAAATACTTTAGTAGCTGCAGAATTATTGAAATATGTATATAGCCCCTAAGATGACTGTTTTAAAGAAATCATGCTCTTTGAATTGGCAGATTAGTTTAAGCAACAGAAACTTTATTTTATAATTATGTTATTGCATCTGATATAGAAATCTTTATTTTGCAATTTACTTTCTACTTTTATCTTTCAGACATTTTAATAATTTAAAATTTAACCACCGGTTTTATACATAAAACTATTATGATAACATTTAAAAACAACTTTTATAAGCAAGTGCTTGTTTATGCATGAGGCAAAATTGTCCTGGAAATGGCTTTGCTAGGATAGAGTTGTACTCTAATGTGTCTTAGGGAAACTTCATTGGAATCTGATTGTTCTCACTTTTTAAAAACTGTCTGGATTTTATTTGATGATAGTTCTCATAATACTTTTTTAGATAAAACAGAATTGTACTTTTTTTTAAAATTAGGCTCAAGAGGCCCAGGGAATCCTCAGGACCATCAAATTACTAATGAAAGAGGAAAATCAAGCTATGATCAGTTTTCTGATCCTCACAGGGAACCTTCTGACACCGGGTCCCTTTCACCTCCATGGGAACAGGATCGTAGGATGATGATTCCTCCATCTGGTATGGAAAGAGTATAGTTATTATTTATATTGAAAACGCAACCAGTATATGCAACATATAGGAATGGAAGAAAAGAGTACATGTGTTCCCTGTCTTAAGAAAAACCATGATACATATTAGAACACAACAGTAACACAATTTCCAAACAAAAGAATTAGGTGTAATTGTTCATATTACAGAAGGCTATTTTACACCCCTCCCCGCATGGAATGTCTATTGTTTTTGTTGCTTATGGAAGTAATACACGTTTATTTTAGAAAATCTAAACAATGCAGAAATGTCTATTTAGGAAAGTTGAAAACTCCTGCTATTATCTTAGTATGCCCTCCCTGAATTTAGTTATAAATCTTTTAGGGATTTTTTTGGGGGTATGTGCATTCACAAACATAGGTATACAAATTTCTTCATCACATCTGTGCATTTATACTATTCACCTCCTTGTAATTTTTTTAAAAATATAATTGACATCTGGATATTGATTTTGTATTTTGCTACTTTGCTGAATGCATTTATTGGATGTAGTAGTTTTTTGGTGGAGTCTTTAGGGTTTTCTGTGTACACTATCATGTCATCTGTGAATAATGACAGTTTTACTTCCTCCTTTCCAATTTGGATGCCTTTTATTCTTCTTCTAGTCTGATCACTGTGGCAAGGACTTCCAGTACTGTGTTGAATAAGAGTGGTGAAAGCAGACATCCCGATCTTGTTCCTGATCTTAAAGGAAACACGTTTAGTTTTTGCCCATTGAGTATGATGTTGGCTGTAGGTTTTTCTTATATGGGCTTTATTACGTTGCGGTATGTCCCTTTATTCACACTTTGCTGAGAGTTATTATCATAAATGGGTACTGGGTTTTACCGAAAACTTTTTTTGCATCGACTGATATGATTGGGTGATTTTATCTTTCATTTTGTTTATGTGATGTATCACATTTATTGATTTGCGAATATTTGTACCAGCATTGCATCCCTGGAATAAAACCTACTTGATCATGGTGCATGATGTTTTCAGTATGTTGCGGGGTTCTATTTGCTAATATTTTGTTGAGGATTTTAGCATCCATGTTCATCAAGGATATTGGCCTATAATTTTCTTTCTTTGTAGTCTCTTTATCTGGTTTTGGGATTAGGAGGATGCTGGCCTCATAAAAAGAGTTTGGGAGATTTCCCTCCTCTTGAATTTTCTGGAATAGTTTTAGTAGAATAAGTGTTAATTCTTCTTTGAATGTTTGGTAAAACTCGCCTGTAAATCCATCCGTTCCTGGGCTTTTGTTTGCTGGGAGTTTTTTGATTACTGCTTCAATTTCATTAGTTGTTATCGGCCTATTCAGGTTTTCTGCCTCTTCTTGATTCAGCTTTGGAAGGTTGTATGCTTCTAGGAATTTGTCCATTTCACCCATGTTGTCCAGTTTGTTGGCATAGTATTTTCTTATGATCCTTTGTATTTCTGTTGGCTTGGTTGTTATATTGCCTGTTTCATTTCTGATTTTGTTTATTTGAGTCCTCTCTCTTTGTTTCTTGATGAGTCTGGCTAAAGGTGCTTCGATCTTACTTATCTTTTCAAAGAACCAGCTCTTGGTTTCATTGATTTTTTTGTATTGTTTTTTTAGTCTCTATGCTATTAATTTCTGCTCTGATCTTTATTATTTCCTTCCTTCTACTTCCTTGGGGTTTTTCTTGCTGTTCTCATTCTAGTTCTTTTAGTTGTTGTGTTAGATGGTTTATTAGAGCTTCTTCTTGTTTCTTGAGACAGGTTTGTAATGCTATGTACTTTCCTTTCAGGACTGCTTTCATTGTGTCCCATAGATTTTGGGTTGTCTGTTCATTTTTGTTTTTTTCCAAGAACTGTTTGATTTCTTCCTTGATCTTATTGGTAACTCACTGTTTAATAACATGGTATTTAGCCTACATGTTTTGAATATGTTTGAGTTGTTTTTACAGTGGTTGATTTCTAGTTTCATGGCATTGTTCTCCAAGAAGATGCTTGATACGATTTCAACCTTCTTGAATTTGTAGAGGCTTGCCCTGTGCTCTAACCTGTGGTCTTTTTTTGAGAATGTTCCATGTGCACTTGAGAAGAATGTGTATTCTGCTGCTTTGGTATGAGGTGTTCTGTAAATGTTAATTAAATCCATTAGGTCTAGTGAGTCAGTTAAGGTCCGTGTTTCCCTGTTGAGTTTTTGTCTTGATGATCTGTCCAGTGCTGACAGTAGGGTTTTAAAGTCCCCCACTATGATTGTGTTGCTGTCAGTCTTCCTTTTAAAGTCCACCAAGAAATTTTTTATGTTTTAGGTGCTCCTATACTGGGTGCATAAATGTTTTATATGGGTTATTTCCTCCTGTTGGATTGATCCCTTTAGTATTATGTAGTGACCTTTGTCTCTTGTTATGGTCCTTATTTTGAAGTCTATTTTGTCAGAAATAAGTATTGCTATCCAGCCTTTTTTTTCNGGGGAAAGTGGCATCAAATAAGTATATATCAATAGTAACGTTAAATGTAAATGGAATATTTTTTCCATCCCTTCACTTTTAGCCTGTGTGAGTCTTTTGCTCTCAGGTGGGTCTCTTGTAGACAGTATATATTTGGGTCCTGTTTTCTTAACCATTCAGCTACTCTTTGTCTCTTGATTGGACCATTTATTCCATTTACATTTAACGTTACTATTGACATATACTTATTTAATACCATTTTCCCCCTTTATGCTGATGTACCTTCCTCTCACTGTTTCTTCTTTTTGCTTAGAGCAGTGTTTTTAGCATTGCTTGCAATGCTGGTTTGTTGGTACTGAACTCCTTTAGCCTTTTTTTTGTCTGGGAAGCTCTTTATTTCACCTTCAATTTTAAATGATATCCTTGCTGGATAAAGCAGTCTTGGTTTTATGTTCTTGCTTTTCATTATGTTCATGCTATTCCCTTCTGGCCTGAAGAGTTTCTTTTGAGAGATCTGATGTCAGCCTTATGGGGGTTCCCTTGTAGGTCACTGCTTGCCTCTTCTTGTAGCCCTTAATATTTTCTCTTTGTCCTTGCCATTTTAATTATGATGTGTTTTGGAGTGTGTCTCTCTGGGTCCCTCTTGTTTGGAACCCTCTGTGCTTCCTGAAGTTGTGTGGCTTTCTCCCTCGCTAGCATAGGGAAGTTTTCTGTCATTATTTACACCACCAAGTTCTCTATCCCTTGCTCTCTTTCCTCCCCCTCTGGCATTCCTATAATGTGAATGTTTTTTGCTTCATGTTTTCTCAGAGCTCCCTTAGACTGTCCTCATGCTTTTTAAGTGTTTTTTCTTTTTGCTGCTCTGATTGAGTGATTTTTTCTACCTTGTCTTCTAAGTCACTTATTCTATCCTCTGCTTCATTTAGCCTGCTTTTAATTCCTTCCAGTGTACTCTTGATATCAGATATAGTATTATTTATTTCTGCCTGGTTCTTGTTTATTATATGTATCTCTTTTTTCATGTTTTCACTAAGTTCCTCGACCTTACCATCAAGTGCCGTGTTGTTCTCATTAATTTCCTTGAGCATTTTTATAACCATTGCTCTGAACTATATTTCTGATACCTTAATAAATTCCATCTCATCAAAGTCTTTGGTGATTTTTCCTCTTCTTTAGTTTGGGAGTTGTTTCTTTGTCTCCCCATTTTGGCGGCTCTTAGTGTTTGTATCTGTATATTAGATATATTTGCTCTCTCCCAGTCTTGTGGGGTGAGATTTTGTCTTGTGAGTCCAGTGGAGCCCAGAGGTGTGTTTTCCTTATACTTCTGAGCTCTTTGCTCTAGGTGTGTCCCTTTTGTGTCCCTTTTGTGGGTTCTTTTTGCTCTTCTGTTGTGATTGGGTCTAGATTATTGTTGATCTGTCCTTGGGAGGACTCTCCTCTCAGGTTGGTTAACTGTGTGTCTCAGCCCCAACCATGTCGTGTGAGCTGTTGTATGGGTGCTGGCAAGGCTGGACAACACACAATTAAACTTCCAGGAAACAAGGGGTATCTTACAGAATAGCTTTACAATCAATGAAAACAATCCAAGTGAAAATAGAACTGGGAGAATGAAGGGAGAACACAAATGCTAAAGCAAAAAAAAAAAAAAAAAAGTAAAAAAAGAAAGAGACAAAGAAAAGTAAAGCTAGAGAGAGAAAGGTATATTGTTGTTAATAGTGATGAAAATTTAAGAAATAGTAATAAACTAAACTAAAATGTAAAAAATAGAGAAGCTACTGGTAGATAAAAGGGGCAGAGAAAAGATTCTGAAAGAAGGGCCAGAAAAAAATTGAGAGAATAAGAATAGGATAATAGTTGAAAATGAAAAAAAAAAGCAAAACAATGAGAATAACAGAAACTAAAAATCAAACAAAAAGACAGGAAGACAGAAGGGAGAAAAACAAAAGAAAGAAAAGAAGGAAAAAAATAAAAAAAACTTATGCCAGTTGATTGAGAGGTGAGAGAGATAGATAAAGCCAGGGCAGGGAGGGAATCCAATAAGAGATATGGGGGAAACTGTAGAGAAAAGCAGTAAACTTATTGGTTATAATGATAAAGTCCCAGCAATTAAGCAAGAATATCAAGAAAATCTTGATAGTAGAAGCAAAGAGAAAACAAAATAAAGCAAGTAAACAAAACAAAACAAAGAAACAAAACAAAAAACAAGACAGAATTCTTAAAAAAAATTAATTAAAAATTTTTAAAATTTAAAAATATTTATAAAATTTTTTTAAAAAACACCTTTTTTCTTTTATCTTTTCATAAGGGAAGAAAAAGGTCAATCAGGTGAGTTTCTTCTGGGCAGCTTATGTTGTCTCAGGCTCTCTGTTTTGTATGCTTATTTCCATTTTCCTGGGAGGTACTTGTGTATCAGCCAATGTGAGGAGCTGTCTAGATTTGACTCTGGTGTCCTAAGGTAGTTGGTTGTTCTGAGGCTCTCTGTGGACCACCTCCTCTTGTCAGCCATTTGCAACCTTGTAGTTGCCTGGCCTTTATGTAGAGTCTTTAGGGTGCAGGATGGCTAGTGTAGCTCAGGGTATCACTCCCCTTAGAGGTTTTGCTGTCAAGCACTCGCTGTGGGGATGTTAGTCTCTGCTCCACAGCCAGCTCCTCAGTCTCTACCCTGTCCTCTGATTCTAGTTTCCCATACACTGGCCTGCTGCAGTTTCAGATGGACTTCAGCCTGTTGCCTTTTCTGTATGGGCAGTTTCAGCAGCCTGGGCTCAGTGGGTTCGATTAAAAAACATTCCAGTGAGCACTTTGCCTGCCCAGCCCCCAGCAGGGGTTTTCAGCGTTTCCTCCAGCTCCCAAACAATAGTCCCTTAGAGTCTTATTCTTGTAATATCCTCCTGTGGACTGTGCCCTGTGGGGAGTATCTGGGGCTTCAGTAAGCTGAACCAGCCCCTTTCCTGTTGGGCGTGATGCTGCTATCCTGCAGGAGAGGCAGGAGTGCTCTGCCCCTCCTTTCTCAGATCTGGTTGGCTGGTTGCACCAGGCGAGTATTTTAAACACTCTACTATGCAGACACAGATCCCAGCTTCTGGTGGTCTGTGAGCCCAATGCATGCCAGAAAGGTGGAAGCCAGTTGATCAATTGAAAACACAAAAATGCACAAAGCAACACACAAGCAGAGAATCCGTCCTGCAACGCGCCCCC